TACTGTGAGATGCCCAAGAAAGCACTACAGGGAGACAGGAAGGACAGCTGATCGTCCTCGCAGTGGCAGACCACATGTGATAGCAGCACCGGACCACAGGGCCACACCAGATACTGTTAATTTTGATTTTGTTCAGGGAAACATTTTTCCATTACTGTTACTTATATGTCTGTGAAACTTTCTTCAGTTTATGTCTTAGTTGTTGAATCTTTTTATGTTCGTACCAATATTAACACGTTAAGTTTGCTGAAAATAAAAGCAGTCGTACACGTATACGCGTTCAATGCAGCTTTCAAACAAGAGCAGCACTTAAAACTGTGGTTATGTCTCCAGTGTCGTTTTACTGAGGACTACAATTTTTAACGTGCCAGCAAAGTCACGTGGTGCTGTCAGGATGAGATTTACGATGTTGTAAGGGCATTCTGAAAGTATTTTCCACAAATGTTTAATTAATGTATATTTAATTTAAATATCTTGTTAATCCGTCAGAAGGATCATGATGCAACAGCGTCTCACAAAATTAAATTCACTTCACCCAGTCCATGAATTCCTACTTACAGTACATATATAAACTGAAATACATTAAATAACATGTAAAATATTAATTGCACCTGTATATTCTGTATATAGGCAATGATCCATATTCTTATTCTTGACTCAGATACACCATCAAACTTTAGCACTGCAAACAAAACATGATACTGATCTAGCTTTTCATCATGTAATGTTACTATTAAATGTACAAAATATTAATAAGACTAATACTTGAGACTTATTTCAAATTGATAGCAGCATCATACCCATGAATTTTTTTATTATTTTATTTTTATTATTTGTTGCACACCCCTGTGTGTGATGCTGATTTTTATGCAACTTGTCTATGTTTCACAATGACTGGCGTAAAGCACTTTGCTACCTGTATAGAAAAGTGCTATATAAAAAAAGCTATTATTATTACTATTATCTCTGAAGTGTCACAGGTCAGGTCAGTTTGTCAGTTTCAGATTAAATTCAGAACACAATTGTTGTAGTTTTTTAAAACTATTTCCAGCAAGATCAAATTAATTTTGTTTCTGGAAATAGTTTTTAGACAAAAAAGTCAGACAAATTGCACTGATTTTAGGTGAAATAATAGTGAATAAATAAAACAATCCAGTATTTTCTCACCAGAATGTTAATCCTGTTGAAGGCTTTGAAACGGGGTTTAGGAGAGGCAAGTTATACATTCACAATATTGTTTTACATGACCAAACATTTGGGTAAACACTTCTATGAGGTTGGTGGGGCGACTTCACTGTTTCTGAAATTATGTCCATGGTTCTTTAAATGAATGAGGAGGCAAATAAAGACACCAAGAAACAAATCCACACTTGTTTTCTTCCACATTTAATTTTATTGTTTATTTTCAACATGGTTCAGTTTGTGTGAATGTTTCCCTTCATGTGTGGAGTTTAAGACTTTGTTGTTGATGTGTGAACCTGCAGAAACTCTCCACACTCCTCCACCTCCCTCCAGACAAACAACAACAACAACAACAACAACAACAGCAAGACAAATCCTCAAACACCTTAAATATCCTACAGAGTGACACTGTTCAGACATGCTAACATGCTGTTCAGCCCTGTGCGACTTCACCGTCTGGTTCAGCCAACACATATAAGACACGTGGAGTTCATATAAACAGAAAGACAAACAGCAGCGACGCGTTTAGGAAGTCTCGAACATCTTCTTCCTGTCAGCCTTGTCCTCAATGTTCTTACGCCAGTCGCCCACCGCTTCTGTAGGCTGCGGAGCAGAAAACACAAACGCTTATTTAACAGTGAGTGAGAGAGAGCTGCCTACTCAGGGAGCTTTGGACTGGAGTGGAGAACCAACTTATCTGATCTGGTATCTGCATGTATTGATTTGGGATTTAAAGCTGGGGCAATGTTTAAGAGCCAGCAGGTATTGATTATTGAGTCGGCCGATATATGCCATTTTGAGATTGTCGCCATCGGCTGACACCTGCACTCACAAGGCTGACATATCATCCTAAATGACATCTGATCTAATCTAAAACCATTACTGGCAAGTGTTAAAAAAAGTATTGTTATACTGTAGAGAATAATGCAGCCGAATGACGTAACTTCTGACAAACTGTACCCTGCTCTCCCTTAAACACCAAGCACGTTCTGAAAATCTCCAGCAGAACCCAATGTTTCTTTTTCATTTCATTAATAAAGCTTCCATCTAAATCAGCAACATTACTGGCTGAGATAACATGTATATTAGATTTTACTCTGCATGGAATAATGGAAATATACATGTCTGTTTCTTTCCCTGCTGGCGGGTTCTTGTTTTTTAAGATAAAATCAAATGTGTGCGATTACTGTGTGGACAAGGTCAAGACCCGAGCAGATCAGAGCTCTTGCGCCTACGATGTCAGTAATGTATCTGGGACAAGCACAGTAGGTTTCACAAATACCATCATTAATTACACAGGTTTAATTGTCTAACATCACTGCATCAGCATACTGACTGATGTATAAATGTGTTTTTGCCCTATTCCAATTAGTATTTGAGTTTGATCCAATATTTCAACCATAATAAGGACGCGTGCTGTACGCTTAGTTTGTAGTCATCCAAAACTAAATCCACTGAAGCTAAGTCAGTTCTAACATTTGTTTTGTTTACTCATATTATTTCTGAACTGGACTTTCAGAAAGTAGGAACTTGAGTTTGGACGAACATTAAACATGAAAAATGAAAATGATTATTGAAAATAATTTATTAATCCTACACAAAAACAAATAACAGCTTGTTTTTCATACTTTTCGATGTTAAGGCCTACTATGTTCGATTTGTGAGACCAGGATGTTGGCTGACTTTGGCCCGTTTTGTGGTTTTGTTGTTAGACATTGATAGAATGAGAAACCATTTTGGATTCCCAGTTAAATCTGACAAGGCTACATGGACTAAACACAGTACAGAGTTCCTGCGCCCTTCCATATTTACACTTGCTATTTAGAGTGCAATTAATTACATGTGCTCACATTGACAAGTATGGCAAAAGGCAGTGACGGCGTGTGCAGATTAAAACTGCTATTAAAATGCCTCAAACTTAATCTCAGCGGGATTGTACAACATCTAATCAAACATTAAGCTATGCACACGATATTTGTCAATATGAAATCTAAATGTCCGGCTTTTGAAAAAACATAACAATAACTTTTCTACAGCAGTAATTAAGATTCATTCCCAAGACAATCTCCCTTCCTGTGAGGATAAAAATGATAGAAGTTGTAAAAATCCTGTAAACTCACCTCCTCTTTCACCTCCTTCTTCACCTGCTTCAGGTTGGACCTCAGGTCCATGTTGACCGTGTGCTTGGAGCCCAGCAGAGCTTTCAGCATGGAGTCAGCAGACATACGTACTTTCTTCAGAGCGGGTTTCTTCACACCTCTCAGATCCACCACTTTGATGTTCAGATCTTGAATCTATGAGAAGCAAAAGCTTTTCATTTTAGCTTACTGCCCCTAAGAAGGTCCTTCGTGTCGCGATTCTGTCAGACGGCGGTTACCTCTTTGTCTGCCTTCTGAACTTTGGCCTCGATGTCGTACCGCTCCTCGTCGATCTTGTCGATGAGGGCGTGGAGCTTCTTGCAACATTCCTATTGACACGCGAACACACACGGTTCTCACGTTACATATATGGTCAATTTCAAGAATAAGCATCTTGGTGGCTAAACGCAGCAGCGATATTCTGTTCTCATGCTACAGGCCTGTAAAGCATGGGTGTGCTTTTGGTGACAGGAGTGTTGATGAATATTCACTGTTTTTAGCAATATGTATATTCAGTGTTATATTATTTGATAAATAATCAATAAAAGTCAACATTTAAACAGTAAATATTGCCAAAATATGGACATTTGCCTGGTATATTTTGAAAATATTGGATGATAACTGTTGTATTTTAGTTTATTTTCATCAAATTTACAGTTACAACTGCATTCCAGGGGTATTAAACATATTCAGTTGCATTATAACCGTATGATGGTTTTGATGGTTTACTGCATAAAAATATACCTTTTTTTTTTTTTACCAGGAGACAATGAAAATATCCTATTTTTTATTTATTGCATCTCCATTTAGTCTGTAATTGTAAAATAAATATGTTAATTTGCAGTGGATTTATTTTCCTGAGCTTCTGACATTTCAGAGGAGACCAGAATTATGCATCTAGGCCAAATGTTTGAGGAGTTATTCCTAATTAATTTTGGTTATTTTCTGTGTTTTTCCTGGAAATAGGGGCAAATAGCTGGCTGCCCCCAACAGGTTTAAAGTACGTGTAGCTGCATTAAAGTTCACACGTCAAAGTGTCTTAGAAACTGGACTTTCTGCCTGTGTGATTATTGAAAGTTCATCCAAAACGACGGCCGTATCTTTATCTTTTTATTACGTGTTTTAGTAGTTTGCGGATGCTCCTCTCACCATCAGGTCTCCGCTCAGGTCCGGGGCGGGACAGTGTTCGGCCAAGTAGGCCGTCTTAGCCGCTGCGATGTCCTTTGTCTCCTGTTCGAGCCAGGTCTGAGCGATTCCAAGGATCAGGCTCTGCAGGACAAACCACAGCGAAATTTCTTGTAAGCAAATGTCCCTTTTGATGGTTTTCACTGAGTATTTTCAAGCTAATATTTTCAGGAAAACCTTTTTTTATCCAGGACTGTAAGAAGTAGGTCTATAATTAAATACAAACAAGTGGTTGGTTTACCTTCAGGTGATGCCTGCGGCTGGAAGTCATCTTTTTCCTATAATAAACCAACAAGTCCATTAATATTTACAATGAAAATATCCATCTTGATGAAAGATTATTTGCTATTTGTCCAATGCAGTTTTGCTTGTTTAAAGTACTGAGTATATTTGGAGTTAGTATCTTGAAATAAGGCTGATTTCTATCCTAATTTCTGATTATTAATCTTAATTATTTTCCACTTTTCCAGTCAGAGTTAATGTTGTTCAGACTTACTCAGACATCTTGGCGGTTTTTGCGGTTCACACCCTGCATGAAGACACACATAAGAACACATAGACGGGAGAAAACATTTGAGTCTTTTTGACCTCTGATCAACGCCGTAGTGGTTCAGATCAGGATGTCAGTTTGAGATTCTGTGAGATCAGCATGTTCTGCTGCTCTGATGGAGATGGATAGACACGAATATTTGTGCCGTAACGTGAGCCGAGGCCACAGCTGAAGAGCAGCGACGTCGTCTGAACTAAACTGGGACTGTCAGGATTGGATGTCTCGACTCGGCGGTTTACGACCATATCAGGTGTAGGGTTAATTTAAAACAATCCTGCACTGGAATATCATTAAATAAAGTTCATCATCTTTAAATTACTTTGAATATTAAAATACAATTTCCAAATCAGGTGAAGTGATCTCTTAATGAGTCATTTAATCCAATTTTAGCTTTTTGGTTTTCTTTAATATTTTTAAAAAAAGTTATATTTTTGTTTAAAAATTTCTACAGTGACTTCTCAGAACAGACAGACCCAAATTTACCCCCTTTAGAAGTTCTACAATATACATTTTTCTCACATGGTAAGGCTTAAACTTGACTTTTTGAAACTGCGAAGCTAAAAATAAAATAAATAACAGCCAAGAAATGAATTAAACCAGATGTTCAGAAGATCCAATTGCTCAATCTTGCCAAGAAAAATGCTTTACTTATTAACCATGAATAATAACAGCCTAATATACATAGTAATTAAGCACTTAAGCGTCATTAAGTCTGTCCAATTATTGTCAGAGTGTAAAATTTTGCAACCAAAAAGCTTTAATGAGAATTTTAAGTCCTCTGCAAAAGACTTGAGTGACTAAAAAAAAAACATTTTAAAACCACAATATTTTTCTCAATGCAAACCATCAAAGCATCAGATTTTAACAGCTGTTCAGACAACAAGCCAAAATGGTAATTTAGCCACCTGAGTGCGTTAGTTTTAAGACTTTGTAGGGTTACAATAACTTTCTAACGCTCAGCTGCAAACAGCTTCGGGAGCATAAAACTCAACACAGTTGTCTCATAAATTTGGGTCTGTCAGGAAAAGGTCAAAAGTCACAAGCAAACATTTAGAAAGCGAGTTTAGGATGCCGGGGTGGGTCAAAGGTGGAGAAACGAACGACTACGGTCCCATTTTAAATGGGGCGTTTTAGAAACAGAGTCTGGTTGATAATGTGGCTGCACTGAACATCTATTTTGTTTCTCCCTGTTAAAATAAAAGATGCTGCTCTCAGAGAGACTCAAAGAGGCTGGAGGGTAAAAAAAGAGAGACAAAATGAAGGAGATTTCTCACCTATTGAGAGGAGGAAGAAGAAGAAGTGGACAAGACACACTTGGTGGAAGAAAAGGAGACACTGCCTAAGCCACAGACAGTGAAAAATGAAATACGGTATATATGGTGGGTTGCGATGCCTCAGCAAAATGTCCAGATCCTCTTTATGGAAATGGATTCCCGGGCAGACCAATGGGCCAACGAGCTCCTGAAATACACCCGGCCCAGCCCCGCTCTGCAAACCGCCCTCCCTGTGAGGGTCTAATCTGAAGATGTAGATTCACTTTGTGTGCGTGTGGGAGGGAGGGAGGGTTTAAATATAAAATAATTGGTCCTGAAACTCTTCAACCTTCAGGCTTCTCTAAACTTGAACCAGGAGTCCTTAGTCCGCTTTCTGATTTCCCCCCTTAAAATATCTCTGAAGTAGCTGTAATGTTGTAGTATGATTAATTTCAATCCAAAGATAACATTTTTGACCACCGTCAAAACATTTCATATGTTTGAAAACTTCTGGACGTTCTGTGTTTCTGAATGAGAGTTTTACCTGCGTGCCATTTTAATTAAACAGGTTAACGCGGGCCTCCTTTTATCATGTCAAGTCATTAGAGGTACAAACACAAATCAACTATTTCAAGTTTCTTCTGGAATCAGGTTTTATGATTTAAGGCCAGAAGTGTTTCTTATTTTGTCTTTAAAAGGTGGCAAATAGAGACTGAGATGAAACGATGGAGATCAACCTCATGTCAGGCCGTGGTTAGCCTAGCTTAGCATAAAGACTGGAAACAGGGGGCAACAGCTAGCCTAAACATAAAAAATACACAAACTAATTCTTGTGTTTGAACTATTCTCCCCTAACACTGGTTTGTGTACTCTTTAAAATAAGACAGTATAGCTGTTTCCCCTGTTCCCAGTCTTTATGCTAAGCTAAGCAGACATGAAACTGATCTCAATCTCAGAAAGAAAGAAAAAAAAAAAAAACTTGCCCAAAATGTTGACCTCCTTTTTGATGGTGAAAAATTAATTTAGAATAAAACTTAATCTTTGCTTGTATTGCAAACTGGTTATGTTTCCAACAGTGAAAAAGGCGTCCCTTAACATGAGCGCAGAGCGAAAATGTAGTGGAGAGAGGCCGAGGCTGCCAAAGGAGTCGCAGCAGTAAAAGAGGATACAGCCAGCGAGGACCAGCAGAACCTGAGCCGCTGACAGCAAACAGCGGCTGGCGGTGCCTTTGCTCAAATTGCCCTCCAGTGCCGACAGTGACTGAATCATTCTGCAGCAATGAATTTCAGCATGGGCAGTGTTTGTTGGATGCTGTCGTCGACGCCAACTCGGAGAGAGCCGGGGAGACCAGAGTGTGTGTTACAATGCATGAAGGTTTTACTGGACAGAGGTGTGCTGGAGACCAGGATCCCGAAGATAAACTGGAAAAAGACAACCAAGACCAGCAGCGTCAAGAGGGCAGATGAACTTTGAGTGGGTATTTTTGTTACCTAAAGCTGTGATTTGGTAAAGTACTAGTCGACAATATAGGCAAGCAGGCTGAGCGAAGTTGGACAACTGTTATAACATTGAGGGACTACTTTTGGAATATGTATAAGATGCCAGTAATTGTTTTGTCATGTTGCTTATTGTGTAACTTTATACTGAGGCGCTAGCTCAGCTAGCATTAGCTTTGTTGCTATACGGAAGCCTGTTCTCCCTGTGTGTGTGTGTGTATTTACTTGATAGTAATGGTAACGGTATAGCTCTGTGCACAACAAATGTAGGAATTTATCTGCTTGGCGACCCAGCAGCTAGCTCCCTCGGCGCTTTAGAGTCCTGCTCGGTGGACTTGGGTGTCAGAAGCTCTCATGCAATGCATCCTGGTACATGTCGGCATAGCTTCACAAGCAGGAGAACTCTGCTTTCTCTCTCTATATAGCATGCACTGGTGCACACAAGGTGCTGAAGCGTCCCTTTAATTGCCAGTTTGATGCTGTGTGATTTGGTAAAAATAAAATGTATGACGATTTAATATGGGGATAAATGTAACAAACAAATTAATCCTTATTTCAAAACATTTATTTCTAATGAAAACCTGTACATTTTGAAATGATGTGATGTTCTATCAGCGTACATGATGATGTTACTGTGTTTCAGTTCAGTCTCTCTCTCTTGGCGACGGCTTCATAAAAACAACCAAAAAAAACAACAATAAAGTGTCTAAACTCTCGTCCCTGTGTGTCCTGCTGGATCACAGAGACACATTCAGTCACTCGGACGGAAACGTCCCCCCTCCTGTCGTCCTCGCCAGTTCAGGAAGGTTTTAAGAAGTCTCGAACATCTTCTTCCTGTCGGCCTTATCCTCAATGTTTTTACGCCAGTCGCCGGCCTCATTTGACTGTAGAGAACAGCAACATTGACTCATTAACACAAAAACAACAGTGCAATACTTCACCATTACATCAAGATCACTTCAAACTTATGGTACAAGAGTGTCCCTCTGTATCTTTTAACCCATTTCTATTAAATGACAGTTTTTTTTCCTCATTCCCAGCAGCTGTCTGCTTCTGTTCATTTCACTATAGTATAAAAATCAACCTGCAGGCTCCATTAGTGTTGTAGTACTCGAGACCGGTCTTGGTCTTAAAACCATTTTTTGATGGTCTTTGTCTCGTCTCGGTGTCGACTGTATTAGTACTCGGTCTTGTCTTGGTCTCGGACATTGAGGACTCGGGATTTTATTTCAAGACCATAACTTTGGGAATATCAATAAATTGCTTTTGCATTGTCTGATTTGTTAACATCCAAACTTTGATTGGAAGTAAAACAAATGGCTTCAAATGCAACCAATAACCCTGATTAACGACTGTCACCCCTCCCTGCGATGCTTACGTTGATTTCAGCTCTTAGTGTTTGTATGCGGGTGTTTTAATGGGAATGTGGATCTTTCAGATCAATTTGAGAAGTACACGTTCCACATTTTATTGCGTGCCATGCAATGCAGGGAACTGGTCTTGGTCTTGACTGCTCTCAGCCCTTAAAAGTCTTGGTCTTGTCTCGGTCTCGATAAACTCCGGTCTTGGTCTTAGTTTAGGCGGTCTTGACTACAACACTAGGCTCCACAATAAAAACTCAAAAATCCGCCACTGCAGTGAAACTTTTTAGTAAAATTTTTTCAGTGCTTTCTACAAAAATGTGGGGAAAAAAATTACTTTCAGGTTTCCCTTTTCTATCTGGAGCAAGTTTCAGGTCTGTTTTGTTTATTTATTTATTTATTTATTTTTTTTACAGGGCAGTGAAATGATTGGAAATCAAAGGCTGCTTGGAGGGTGTTTACCACCACAAAGTGAAAAAGGATTTATTGTAAATGGGTTAAATGTAAATACTGTTCATTGTGCATTAATGTGTTTCCCAGCAGGACGTTTAAAGCCCCAAAACAAAGGATGAAGCTAATAAAAATTATGAAAGAAAGTAGCAAGGTAAATCAAAATAATTTTGACGGAGAGATGGAGACGTCAAACCAAATGTGACAACCTGGAAAAACTTTCTAAAGAATAAATATCTCAACAGTCAGCAGTTTTGTTTCCAGTCAGGATGCACGTTTCTGACCTTAACACCTAAATGTCACTATTGTGCTTCTGATACATGATGCTTTCATGGTGGAAAGATTCACACGACTGCAGTCTTTACACTCTTTACAGCTCTTTTCAAGCTTCTACTGCCACATCTGTGATCAATTTAAACTCACCTCCTCTTTGACCTCCTTCTTGACCTGCTTCAGGTTGGCTCTCAGGTCCATGGTCACCTTGTGTTTTCCTCCCAGCAGAGCCTGGAGCATGGCGTCAGCGGACATACGCACTTTCTTCAGAGCGGGTTTCTTCACTCCAGCCAGCTCGACCACCTTCAGCTTCAGATCCTCAATCTGGAGGCGGAGAAACATCACAACATGTTAGATCAGATGTTGGGGGAACATGTGGTACTTTCTCCAAGGGATGACAATTTCTTTCTTCTACGCTAAAGCTAGAGCTACAACATTTCCTGAAAAGTGCTGAAAGTCAAAGTCAAAATTATTAGATCCAATCTGAAACAGACTTTTTAGAATACCCACCAGGATGTGAATAAATTAATTAGACCCAATCCAAAAGGATGCAAGGACGGTCAAAAAAGGAAAATGACTCAATCCTACATGAAAATCCACCAATTAAGGAGAAGCTTTGTACTGCTAGAGGAAACTTCTTAGACCGTCCTCTGACTTGGGTCTTTTTGGTTCGATTACTCATTTAAAACGATTGGAATTATTAGAAATATTGCTCATATTTTTATTTCATTTCAACAATATTGTTTGACAGAATTCAGGAAAAGATAGATGCATTTTTGCACTCCAACGCCCCCCCTCTTGGCGACCAGCCCGGGCTATGTAAGCATACATATATCAATAGGGGACGTCATTCAATCTCCTCAAATGCTTTTGAGGAATCTGCTGAGAGGCAAGCAAACAAACGGAGCCAAAAATAAAATCCAGAACTTTAAAAATCTTCCTGACATGTATGAATAACACCTGTTTTACAGCCAGGGGTGGAATATGAATAAGTACATTACTGTAGTACTGCAGTTAACTACACATTTGAGGTACTTTACGTGAGTATTTACATTTTCTACAACTTTATACTTTTTACTCCACTACATTTGTCTGACTTTTCAGATTCCATTTTTTCATGTGTTCCACGTGTCTTCAAATTTTGATCATTTGTTTGTGACAAACTAAAGGATAAAGAGTTCCTTAATGGTTTGAGAAAATCTCCTACTTCTTAAGCTAAATTAACTAAGAAGAGAGATTTATAGAATACGACGCATTGCTGTGACTTGAACTACCAAACGGGATATAAAGGAGTTAAACTGAACTCAACCTTAAACATCTAAAGCAGGAAAATGCAGAACATTTAGTCTTCTTTGATTAATCATCAATCAACTGAAAGTAGTTCTATGCCAAGTGATTCATTTGCTTCAACAACTGATAGAAATCACATGTCATAAAATGAAACAGACAAGACAACAGATAAAGACATTTAGATTTAAGAAAATTCAGCTGAAATTGGCTGAAAAACACTATTTTAAGACTCCTCACTTGACTACATCTGAAGTCATAACTCACCTGAGAACAGCGGAGCGGGTAAGTTTGTCTCTCACCTCTTTGTCGCTCTTCTGCACCTTGGCCTCGGCGTCGTACCTCGCCTCGTCAACCTTGTCGATGGCGGCGTGGATCTTCTTGCAGAGCTCCTGTAGATACACATGTTTAACACACGGATGCGGTGATTGCACTCCTGAAAAACTGCACCATGAAAGCTCAAGTTCAATTGTGGAATGTAACTACTTACTAAATTACTGTACTTAAATACCACTTTGATATACTTCTACTTTACTTGAGTGTTTCTACTTTATGCTTGTACCATGAGTGCCTGATGTAGGGGCTCCAAGAGGCCACGGGCCCCAAACTTTACGGATTCTTTTTAAGTCTACTCTAAGACATTAAGTAAAATAAAGCACGCAAATACAAAATGGGAAGAATAGAGTATTTACATTTTAATCCAACCAAAGAGTGAATATGTGGTTAATCTACTTCACTGTCTACCAATGTTATTTTCTCACTAAGAGGTGGGAACGAGCAAATCCTGGCAACTTCTCTGTTGTTGGCTCCCACCATCCGAGAATTGGAATAACTTTATTTTTGATGGAAATGACCTGATACTGAATTTAAACTCGGAAGCTGTAAGTTTGGATATTTTTATGTTCATTTACTGTTTGTCTGAATAGATTCTCAGTCATCCAGGTCATAATTATCCACGGAGAGCTAAAATCAAGGGCAGTTGAAGAGGTTTTTTCATGTCTGACTGACTGACAGGGAATCCCAGCTATTTAACCTCTGTGCGGTCATTATCAAGGTGATTGATGCCGCTTGGTTCGTTAGTGCTCCTCACTGTTGTGATGACAGTAGTTATGGTCATTAGAGTCACCTGAGGGCAAGTCTGAATGGCCTTCGTTGGCATTGTCACATATAGAGCTGCAACAATTAGTAAATTAAATTAATTGACAACTTTTTTGATAATTTATTTACTGCTTTGACTCCATTATTTGAAAAAAACAAACCTCCAAATTACCTGATTTCAGTTACCTAAATGTGAATATTTTCTTTACTATGACAGTAAAGCTAATATATTTGGGTTGTTCACAAAATCACCTTTGGCTTTGTGAAACACTAATCAACATTTTTCACAGTTTCCCGGAGAACCAATCGATTTATCGAGAAAATAAGTGACAGATTAATCGTTGATGAAAATAATCACTAGTCACATGATGCCAAATGTGAGCGTTGTTGTGTCAATGTGTCAGTTTGGTAGGTGGGGAATAGAATATGAACCTTGTTGTCCTCAAAAGAGTGTCCCTTATCCTTCAAATGTAGGTAAACTGTTTTTCATTTTAGCCTAAACTTGGTGTTCCGCACCTAATGTGGCTTTAGTGCCTATTGTACACTACTGTGTTTAATACTGAGAGACGGCCAAGAGAAAATGTGTGAACGTCTAGGTACATTGTTATGGTCTCACCATGAGGGCGGCCTGGTCTCCGCCGAGGTCGGGAGTGGGGCAGTTCTCGGACAGGTAGGCCTCTTTCGCCGCCACAATGTCCTTCTTCTCTTGCTCGATCCAGCTGGCAGCAATCTGCAGCATCAAACTCTGCAGGGAGAAGATGAACATGTAAAATGAAAATAAAAAAGGTTAACAGCAACAGCAAGACAACAATGTAAAGCAAAAGAAGGTTTCATTCTCACCTTCAGGGTGATGCCTGCGGCTGGATGTCATTTTCTTTCCTCTGTGAGACAGAGATTAGACTTTATCAGTACTGATGGATCATCACACAGTATCTTGGCTGATTTGATAAAGTTTGATTTTGTCTATTTAATGAGGGCTCAAAATCTTTTTTTTTTTTTAAAGAATAATTCAACATTTAAGGAAGAACACTTACTATCTTTTAAAATAATTAGGTGAGAAGACTGATACGACTCTCATGTCTGTATGCTAAATATGAAGCCAGCAGCTGGTAACCTTAGCTTAGCATAAACTGATAAAACAGCTGGCCTGGCTCTGTCCAAAGATCAACCAGCACCTCTAAAGCTCAGTACTGTTAACTGTTTCCAGTCTTTATGCTAAGCTAAGCTAACTGGCAGGTGGCCAAGGTCTCAGCCAGACATAAAATAACGGATTTCCCCAAAACGTTCAGTTATTTAATAAGCTAATTACATTTAATTAAATGTGGGGTAAGATTGTTTCACTTTATTTTAATTTGTTTCAAGGAAGAAACATTTTAAAAGACGATCTGCCTGCTGTAACGTGTTTCCCCTCGCACATACCAGCAACATGTACAGCTGCTGTCATCTGAAGCTGAAGGTTGACCTTCAAACTGAACTGGTGCCTTCACATGTGTTCGGATCAGTTTAAACACATTTCAGACACACCAGCAGCTTCGTGGACGTCCCTCTGTGAGTCCAACACTTTAGTAAAGAGTGAAACGTCTCAACAACAGTCTATTGGACTGATTGTCAGGAAATGATGTGCAGAGATTATTGATCAGCAGAGGATGAATCGTAACAAATTTGATTAAGGTCAACATTTACATTGAGTTGTAAAGGCATAATATAAAGACATAATTTCCATCAGACTCAGCTGAGATTAATGCTAATTCAGTTGATTTCCAGGTGTCTGTGATGCTTTACAGCTTCTCTGCTTTCTGAAAACATTTTTTAATTGTTTGTTTGTACAGTTAAATTTTTGAGGGGGTTTTTTTCAGTGCCTGCCTCCACTTTTATAAAATTTGGTGTTGGTGTGAAAACATCCAGCGCAATGATGCAAAGTCAATGACTTTATCTGATATGTTGTATTTGTATAAATATGTGAGAATGTTGTCAATAAACCAAACTAAAGCTGAATGCACAGCTTAGTCTGGTAACACTTTACAGGACCCATAGTTTCAAAGGTTAAAAAGAAAAAGAAGAAGACGAGTACTCACTCAGACATTTTGGCGGTTTGTGATCTTCACACCCTGTTCAGAGACAAAAAACACTCATCAGTTAATCATGAGCAGACAGGTTACATAAAGCAAACTGACTCCATCCACAGCTCAACAAAAAAGGTCTTGTTGCCTCCCCCCCGTATCGATCAACAACGCTTTGAACTGCAGCAGGAAACACGACTCTTCACTATGATGGAAAACCGTCTGCCAGCGATCACAAACCAGCTAATTTTGGACAGACGGGGTCAGATGGCAGGCCCTACGACTGAACAGTTGCCCCCTCTGAAGGCAATTTTGGAATTTAACTTCTTACAGCGAGCCAGTGATCCCAACACGAAATGCCATGAACCAAATGTGGCTCTAAGCACGCAGTGAGACCCGTTAACACCAATTCCAACATCCTGCAGGCATCCAAACCATCGGCTAACACACAAGGTCTTAGATCAGAATCTAAAGAATCAGAAACTACAAAACTTTTTAAAAAAAATTAAAATTAAAATTAAATGCGGATCTAAAAAAAAAGTTGTTTTGAGGCTCCACAACATCCAGGATGCAAAAACACTTTGTCGAATCATCTTATTTTCATACTAAACAAGTCAAACACTGAGTCAGAACAAAACATCCAGCTACAGCCACAAAGAAAACAAGAACAATATTCATTAAATCTCCAAATCATTTTCACAAAGAATCACATGAAATAATTTAAAAACCTTAGGTAATGCTTTAAATGTCACATGTCGTAATATCTGAATACTTCCTGAGAATTTCTGTGGAAAGAAGTTTGTTATTTGGCTCTACTTATAGAGAAAATACAGTGTTCAATTATTTTATATTCAATTTAATTATTATTATTAAATCAGTCCCTGCACAGCAGCTCAGCAGATACCACAGGTAAAACAAACGTGTGTTCGAGTGAAGCTTTTTCATATAATCAGCACCAAATGAACCTTTTTTGCAGGAAATCATAAAATGATTTACCGACACGTAAAATAAAGCACCAGCAAACTTTGAGAAGTTTCACTTTAAAGATTTAAAATCCCAGCGGGCAAAAACGAACCTTCACTTTTAATTATTATACATATTAAGCCTTAAACTTTCACTTACACCACACAACATTAAAAAAAAAGACAATCAGCTGATTTTTATTTAAATGACTAAATAAAAGGCCAAAATGACAAACTAGCTTCAGTCCAAACTTTAACCTGCCTGAATGTCCCGAAGTTATTTCACCTTTCAGCTCAATGTCCAATAAGTCTCAGCTCCTTCTCTCTGATTCTACCTCCAAACGTCTGAACGCAGTCTCAGAGGTCAGAGGTCACACCTGCAGCAGCACTTTTAACCCAGAGAAAAGCCTCTCTGCAGAACAAACTGAAGTCCCACCTGTTAAGCAGAACTTAGCGACTCTCCGTATTGTTTCCTACCAGAGTGAACGAAGCAGAGCTGCAGAGACTCTCACCTACTGAACGTGACGAGGAGGAGCAAGACGAAGAAGGGGGGGAGACACTGCCAAGTCCTAAACAGTAAAGATTATACAGGGTATATAGGGTGTGAAGTGCTCGCTCAGCAGAAATGTCATCCCTCTTTATGGTAGCAGAGCCACTTCAGACCAATGGGCCGGCCGGTTCCAGAAATACCACAGCAACTCTCGGAAGAACCTCGTAAACTTCTGTTGCAGGAAGTCACCTCCCTGGACTGCTGCAGGTTTCCTCCCACAGAGACGAGTGAAAAGATGAAGCAATTGTCGCAGGGCAGTGAGGCTGATCACAGATTCAGTTTCTTTATACCAGCAGCTTAACAGGCCAGTGGTGAGAACAGCGTGAGAAGCTGTCACACCCACAAGGAGTCATTTACACTGAAGTTCAGCTCAAGTTTAATCTCAAGCTTCAACCGTCGAGTCAGACGGATCAAGTGAGGAGCATTTAAAGTCTTTTTAGGAGGAAACTCCCTCTATCACTACAAAGACTTTCACTTTCAAACATATCCATTTAAACTGTCTAACGCAGACTGATGAAGCTGAATATTCACTTCAGATAAAGTTGCTTTTGTTCCCATCACTTCCAGCTGAAGAGGTTTCATAACCAGTATGAACAGGTGGAACAAGTGTGGTTTCGGTGTACATGCAGTCATGTTAGTCTTGTCTCAAAACGTTTATCGTTCAGGACTCTGGGGGCTCCTGTAAAAAAGTAAATTTAATGATCGAAAACAAATATCAGTTGGACTAACATGTTGAACCGTCACTGACAAAAAAAGCTGCTTCAGTAGATCAACATCTGGATTAAAAAGGCAGGTTCAGTTTTATAAACGACGAGCGTTTAAATTTGAGTTTTAAAAGTGTGGAGCAGCGGGACTGACATTAATCCAAGTTAACACATGAAACATAGTTTAAAATTTGATTTGTTTTAGTTTAGAATAAAGCTGGAATCACAAAAGTTCATACATTGCACAAACCAGAATCATTCTGAGGAAAAATCAAAATATCAAATTTTAAATAATATAAAAAAATAAAAATTTAATTTGGAAATAAATTGGTTTCCTTAAATGTTAGTTAAGTTAAACTGAATGTGAAGCAAAAGAACTGACATTAATCATACATTTACGGATTAAACATAGATTTAAAATTTAAATTGTTTTTAGTTTAAAATGAGGTATCAAACTTTGGTGCCACAGATGTAAAAGAAACTGATTTACTCAAGCTTAAAGCTGCTTGTTGCAACTAATCATCTGGAAATATGTATTTTATCTTAATTTTAAACAAATGACATTACAGATATACACATCAATGACTGTTAAAATTACCAAGTAAGAATAAATTAACATTTAAATGTCATGAATGTGTGAATCAGTGTTAAATCAAAGTATAGCAGTAAAAGAATTTCAGATTGCTGCATCTTTCTATCATTACTGAGCATTTACTCCATTTATATCAAAACAAAACCTAAACCTGTTAATGTAAATTGTTAAGTATATAATTCTATTTAATTCAGTTATGGGAGCTGATTATTACTTTATTACTTACGCTTTCATCAGGTGTTTTTTTTCTTCAGTAAGAACTTCCTGTTTCCTTCAAGCATTTCAGGCATTAGTGAATATCTCTAAATGTCTAAATCCAACTGAATTTTATTTTAAACTGTTAACGATTTCATATACAGGTATGTCAGGCTGAGGTTTGGGGAAATATAGACGTCTATAATATTTCCCATTAAGGGGATGGAGCAGCCATTAGTAAGTTTTAATATTTACTCGTACTGTAGCTACAATTAAAAACTGGAACAACATTGTTTCTCTAATATATATATATTTACAATTTAAAAATAACTTGAAGGGCACTTTTAGGGGCAACATGAGTAGTTAAGACATCATGCAATAATGAGATTAACAGTAAAGTGAAAATAAAAATTACTCACCGTTCGTAGAACTTCACGGCGCTGGCAGCTTCATTTGAAGTAAAATTGTGATGAAATGGTGAAAATATTTCGAAAGGGGGAGATGATGTGCAGGTAGAAGAACCAACCAGCAGAGAAAAGACTGCTGACATCTGGTGGTTCATGGTGAGCACAACACTCGGTTAAGTAGAGGACAAATATAGATTATGCTGCTATTTAGTGGTTTTAAGTTAAAGTGACATCTTGTCCCTGGAAGCAGCTTCTTCTGATTTGGATATTTCTATGTATGTCAAGATATCTTTAGGTTCAGATTAACACCAATATCAATCTGGTTATATTATAAAGTGAATTTTAGATGTCGCTTAAGTTAAGTTATGAAAAACAAAACAAAACAAAAGGCAAAATCCCAACTAAAGAAAACTTTTACCTTTAAACATCCAAACACCATCTGGGAAAAAACTGCAGCATGACAGCATTGCCTTATTCCAAAAAAAAAACATTTAATGGCACGGGTTTTTTTCAATTCCATGAAAATGGTCAGAGGTAACAGTGAAAAGAGTGAAAGTCTTTAGGAAGTCTCGAACATCTTCTTCCTGTCCCGCTTTGTCCTCAATGTTCTTACGCCAGTCACCGACCCCCTCGGCATTCTGAAGGAGCAGA